CTAAACCCTAAACCCTTATCAGGTTGAGGGTTCGAGCAGCTCCGGAAGCTCAAACAGCGCAAGTCCTGGACCACTTGCGCAGATGGCAGGTGGGCCTTGGCTGTTTCTTTCCCAACTCAGTAGCTGTGCGGTTTAGGATTTAGGGTTTAGGATTGAGAATTTAGGGTTTAGGGTTTAGGGTTTAGGATTTAGGGTTTAGGTAATGGTTAGTTAAAGTCTGAATATACATAGCTCTTAATGCTACCCTGATTGCAGACTGTTACTGGGTGGGGTCAGTACCCAAGGTGGGCATTTGTTTTGTCTGCCGCTCTTGGGGGCTTCTCAAATTAGGGGTACCATTTTGAGGGTCCCAAGATTGAGGATTATTGTATTTGTGGGTTTGTGTCGGGTACCCCATTGCAGGAAACTTTCTGTTGTTGTTTATGCAAGAGCTTGTTTCCCAATGCCGCTGACCTTTACATGCAAACATTGGCGAAACAGCACCAAGATGCTTCTTGCAGCCATGGACCCTGAACCCTAAACCCTATAGTAGTTTCCATTTTATTTTCCATTATCCCAATATATAACCCCTATAATGCCTGTAGTGTCCATTTTCTTTTCCATTATCCCGTCTGGCTCCAGCTCCCACCTCAGGTTGTGGGAATCTTAGTTGGGTAGGGAATGCTTTTCTGAGCACCCCTGCTCCGATGCCTAGTGCCTTGGCCTTCAAAACATGTAATCTAAACTCCTTAAAGGGCGTTATATAGGGGTTATATAGGGATTATTTAGGGGATTATTAAGGGGGATAGTAGGAGTTGAGACTATAGCTCACATTGTGTATGAGAAGATAAAGTGAGTTCTTGGGTTCAGCTGGCATTCTGCATCTTGCCAGCAACGGGAGCGCCTAAGCCCTAAACCCCAAACCCTAAACCCAAAACCCAAAACCCCAAACCCTAACCCTAAACCCTAAACCTCAAACCCTAAACCCCAAACCCAAAATCCTACACCCTAAACCCTAAACTTGTAAATTTGTTTCCGGAGCGGGCGCACCGTAAGTGGAGCTGCTGCTTCCGCAGCTCTGCTCATGCCAGCTTCATGCCTAGCTCCAGTGTAACCGTCCAAAGCCTTTAAGGTTTAGGGTTTGTATAGGGTTGTATTACTAGTAATAATGGAAAAGAAAATGGAAACTACTACAAGGGCGGTTTAGGGTTTGTGTAGGTTTAGAGTACTAGTACTAATGGAAAAGAAAATGGAAACTACTATATAGTATTTAGTGTTTAGGGTTTAGGGTCATGGGTATTTAGCAAGTTGGCTAATAATTAGGATAACTAGGGTTACCATATGGATTACAAGGGTTATTAACCTACTTATTAATTCCCCCTGACCCTCCAAGTACACTCCCCCAAACTAACATGGAAACCCATATAGCCTCCCTTCAAAGGGACTGTAGTCTTATAGGACCCTTGTTGGGTTTCCATGTTAGTTCCCAGGAGTGTAACCCCTGCTTCAGCTCCTATTAGCTGTCAGCTGAGGTGCATCTGCGTTGTCTGCTCAGATCATCTCAGGAGCGGAGATTCTCTGTGATTTAGGGTTTAGGGTTTAGGGGTTTAGGGCAGGAAAGCTCCTCACCAGTAAGTTTCAGTATGTCCATGACAGCCCATGCTTTACCAGTGCCGCGCGCATTCATCTTGGGTCCTTTCTGTTGCAACCCTTGGTTGGTAGGGAGCAAAGGAACACAATATATATATAAGGGTTATATAGAGACAATATTCTAAACCTTAAGCCCTAATGTCGGGAGTATCTTCCCTTGTTCGCTACTATCCACCAGTATTTTTGAAGGATGAGACTCTGCCCATGCGGCCTGGCACGCAGTGCCCTCGCATTGGCGGTTGTCACAGGCCGGCAGGGCTTATTCAGCTGAGCTTAGCCTAAACTTTTTCAGGGGGGTTTTATAAGGGGATTAAATAGGGGAGTATTATATGGGTTAATTATTAAAGGGGATACTAGGAGTTTAGACTATAGCTCAGCTGGGGGCAAGGCAGACTCGCCAGGTGAGGCCTTCGTTCTTGATCCTCCCATTTTTGTTGTGTGACTTTCTCCATACAAAGCCGTGGCGGAAGGTCTTTCCGGGTTGGAGGCAGCTGCATACACCCCGTTTGTTTCACCAGGGTGGCGACCTCAGGGTTCTGCCCACCTGAATGCCGCACTTGCCAGAGTGTCAACCAGTTTTCGATGTAACTGCGCGCTGCGGAGGTCAGGGGTCCCGCATCATCTTGGAGTGACAGCGTCGCAAGCTTAGTGCTGGCTCGCTCTGGTCAGGTTGTTCGCAGCGACAGGACCAGTGTTTTTCTGGATTCTAGATGCTGGCCTTCCCCCGCCATCTGTTCACACCGCTCAGCTCAGGGGGAAGCTGCTGCGAAAGCACCAGCCGCCTCATGATCATCTCGTGCTGGCCTCAACCAGGATGATGTTCGCAGAACGAAGCACCTTTGCTACCCAATTAACTGCATCCCTGAGGCTCACAGACAAAGACGCGCAGTTGCCATTGATGGCCATGCAAATCTGGTAGGCGTTGGCAGGCCCCTTTTTTCTCGGACTGTTCTGTACTTCCCCAAAGTCAGCTTCGCGAGACTGCGGGCTTTCAAGTTCGTTTCGAGAGCTTCAGAGATACAGGAAATTACATGTAGCAAAGATGGCTCAGGTTTGACATGCCAACTCATTTCTGCGCCCAATGATGGCAAGCAGCATGTCTCTTGCAGGAGTTACAACCTTGGTCGACCAGAATCCTTGGCAATGCAGGAACCAGTTCAGCCCTCAGCTAAATTGTAATTGATTCATGCAGCTTCACCATGCGTCCTGGACTCTAAGATGCTTGTGTCAGGAAGCTGAAGAGGCTTCAGAGGAATCCCCGGCTGAAGAGGCTTCGGAAGAGTCATCAGAGGAGGCCAGCGAAGAAACTGCAGCGGAAGGGGGGGCAGAAGGTGCTGAAGAGGGTGCCGCAGAGGCTTCAGCAGAAGGTGCTTCCGAAGAAGGTGCTTCCGAAGAAGGTGCTTCCGCAGATGCGGATGGCGCGGCAGATGGTGCGGCCGCAGAGGGAGCGGCGGAGGGGGGGGCAACTGAAGGTGCAACTGAGGCCACTTCGGAGGGAACCGAAGCTGCAGCGCCTGCTGCAGCTGGCACAGAGGCTGGAGCAGCAGCAGCTCCTGCTGCAGCCGCTGCTGCGGCAGCAGGTGCTGTAGTAGAGGGCAGCGTCGCTGCTACCACTGCAGCAGTCACCACAGTAGCGGCAACTACGGTTGCTGCAGCTGTAGCTGCGGCAACGACTGCTGTGCCGACCACTGTTGCTTTGGCCACTGCAGCTGGAAAGGCTGGCCACCATCACCACGTGAAGGCAGTTGCTCCTGGCGCCACAAAGGCTGCCAAAGGCAAAACCGCGGCCAAAGGCGGCAGCACTTCTGGCTCCAGTGTGCCCTGGAAGGGCATCATTCTGGTGCCTTGCCTTCATTGCATGCTAAACCCCATCCTACGTAGGTAAATGGGATATGGTACCCAATATTACCCCAATAATGGAGAATCAAATGGAAAAGAACATGGAAAATGAAATAGAAACTGGGATTATTTTGGCTTACCCTTGGATTCTCGCGAACTCCTCTGAGGACGGTTGCTGGGCAACTAAGGTGCTTTCCATTGTCGCGCTCGTCGTTTTCCTAGGGCCTAAGCTGTACGAGGCCAGAGGATTTGTAGTGTACTAGCCGGAATGCGAATAGTGGTAGTAATAGTATTCATCGTAAAAGTCGCAAAATTTAATAATAGCAAACACAATAATAATAGATTATCATTGGGAATAAAAATAGCGATAGTAATAAGAATAATGATAATGATAATAACAACTGTAATGCTATCAATAGAATAGTAACAAGAATACAAACAATAATGGTATTGATAACAATAATAACAATTAATAGCAATAATATGAATTGTAACAACAACAACGACAACAACAATAGTAATAGTAGTAATAGTAACAATGGCTGCGCTCCTGCTCCTGCAGATGGCAACAGCCAAGCCGCCGCTGCCTGGCCGCCTGAATGAGATCAAGAGCGAGCCCTCGGACCAGCAGGCAGGCTTGCTGACTGTTTTCTTAAAAATAAGGGGTACCCTTACAAGGGGTTTAGGGGGGTTATGTAGGGCTCAGACAATCTATAGGGTTAAGGGTTTAGGGATTAGGGTTTCTCCAAAAGTTTTGTCCTGCAGATTGGGGAGCGCACTTTCTGGGAACTGTTTGTTGAGCCTTGGCGCGCGGATTTGGCCTTAAATTGCACTTGTCTCCTGCCTGCCTGCGGCCTCGTCTCTACCGAGACCTACCTAAACAGGAGGGTCTAGTGTTTCCCCAAAAACCCAAGCCCTAACCTCCAGACCCTGAAACGTAAACACTAAAACCTAAACCGAATGCCCTCAAGTTGCAAGGTCTGGGCTTCATCGAAAGCTCGTCAGACCTACAGGTGCTGCCGGGTCAACCAAAGATTCTTTAAAGGGGATATGGGGGTTATGTAGGGGTATCTATGGGGTTTACAGGAATATATAAGGTTTCCGCAAAGTATCCAGTTTTGGCTTGCTAGTGCGTCTCAAACTTGAAAATGTGGCTTTATTCAGGTATTAATCCTTGAACTGGGATTCGACAAGACAGCGAAGCGCTGATAAGGCAAGATATGGTGTAGACCTGACAGTGCTAAGCTCTACGACTGGGACTCGTCCTGGCCCTAAACCCTAAACCAGTAGAACAATTTGCTGATATTTGCTGGGTGAGCTGGCTCTGGCGAGGGGAAGTGACGGTTCACCAAAGCTGTAGCAGCTACTCTGCAAGTGTAAAGGTATAGTCGCACGACAGCATCTGAGCTATAGTCGTAACTCCTAGTATCTCTCTTTATAACCCCTACAGTAGTTCCCCCGATATAACCCCCCTTTAAGGAATTTGGAGTTGGGCTCATCTTGAGCTCTTTACGTGACCGCTTTGGCAGTGGGCGAAAGCCCCAGACCGGGCCTGGTAGATGCCAGCGCAGAGCTGCGCCTAGCGATAGAGGGTTGAGTGCCCTAGTGGGGTTGAGGGGTTTAGGGTTTAGGATTTAGGGTTTGGGATGTATTGTTTAGAGAATAAGGGGATATATAGGGGATATATGAGGATTGTGGAAAAGAAAATGGAAACTACTATTTAGGGTCAGAGGATGTCGGGTTACATGAGCTATAGTCTAAGTTCCTTGAAGGGGGTTATATATGGGAGTATTATAGAGGTTATGAAGGGGGATACTAGGAGTTTAGACTATAGCTCAAGTGGCCACAAAGGGGGTACAAACATGACCGTGCAGCCAAAATATTGCCCAAACACGTTCGCCTGCTAAGTGTGTGAAACAGCTTGATTATGCATGGAGTGACTTTACGAAGCCACAGATCTCAGAAGCAGGCTGAAATGCTACCATTACTCCCTCCACTACCGCCGCGATGAGAATTAATCAAAAACACCTGACGCTCCCGCAAATGCCACAGGAAATCTGTGCTGGCGGCGCAGTCCAACAAGAGCAGCAGCGACAGCGAGGCCGTAGAAGGAATTATTCACTACGGTTGCTTACCAGTCATCATGTTCGGAGTGCTAAAAGGAGGAGTAGGACTAGGAGTACAGGGAAGGGTAGGAGCAGGAGGGAGTTGGAGCCGCCGTAGCAGTAGCAACAGCAATAGTAGCAGCAGCGGCAGCATTCCCTGTCGTGCTTATTACTGTGGTGGTGGTGGTGGTGGTGGTGGTGGTGGCGGCGGCGGCGGCGGCGGCGGCGGTGGTGGCTGTGGCACGGCGGTGGCTTTGGTAATGATAATTTTGGAAATGACGCTCGGCCCGTTGATTGTTTCATTCGTTCTGTGACTATGTTGTGGAACCGGGTTGTAACCATGATATTTCTGGCGAGCTTTGTGATTCCTTCATTTTTACCTACTTGCTGTCATCGATGTCTAGCTAGAACATTAAGTGGCTACACTACAGTTTTACAGCAGCTGCATAGGTGTAAAGGAGCTTGCAAAGACCACTTTAGCCCCAGCCGAAGAACCAAACTAGCCTTTAAATAGCCAGGAAGAGAGGTAAGGGACCCTTCTAGTGGTTCCTATATAGCCCACTATAGTAGTTTCCATTCTCTTTTCCATTCTAAACCCTAAACCAATTATAGTAGTTTCCATTTTCTTTTCCATTCTAAACCCCAAGCCCAAATCTCCATTATAGTCTTCATTTTCTTTTCCATTTCTTCATTCCCACCGTAAACCCTAAACCCTAAATCCAAAACCCAACTAACCAAAGGCCAGTTTAGCCCCAGCAAATCTGTAGGATGCTGCTGCAAAGCCAGTTCCGTGAGAGCCTTAGCAGTTGCTTCCATAGGTGTTTCTGTTTTAGGGTTTAGGGTTTAGGGTTTAGGGATGGGGGGCCCAATACAGACCCCAAGATCTTAGGATCCTTATTGTAGGGCCTACATTCTAGGGACTCCCCAAAAGCGGCCTCTAATATCTGGAAGCCTGGTCCTCAGCTCTGAACTGCCGGGTCATCTGGCACATCGCTAAGGTTGTTGTCCGCATTTGTCAGGGTCCATGGGGATGCACGAAAACAAATGCAACCCAAACCGACCCAAACCCAAGCTCTTGAGCTCTTTGACCTAGGCCGCTAAACGCTTACATGAGACTCAAGCCCCAAAGCATCATAAAGACCTGCCTCCCTGAACATGAAGCGAGTGGCCAATCCTTACTCTATAGGGGTAATTTAAAGGGTGTATAAGGGTTCTATAGGGATAATGGAAAAGACAATGGAAGCTACTGTAGTATAAGAGGGTATATGTTGTGGTTATATAGGGATAATGGAAAACACATGGAAACTACTATGGTGGTTATATCGGGTATATATTGGGGTTATATAGGAGCTCTCTAACTCGGAGCTTCAACCCGAAGCCCAGAAGTCCTTTGCATCCAAGTGTGAAAAGAAGAAACTCTTATAACCAACTTTTGTTGTTTCCATTTTCTTTTCCACTACCCCTATATAACCCCTGTCTATACCCTATTGTATTATAGTAGCTTCCATTTTATTTTCCATTATCCCTATAGAACCCTTATAAACCCTTTATATTACCCCTATACAGAACCCTTACAAACCTTATATTACCTTATATAGAATCCTTACAAACCCTCTATTACCCCTATATAGAGCCCTTATAAGCCCTATATTACCCCTATATAGAACCCTAAACCGAGTACAAGAGCCTGGGGAGGCTGGGGCCTTGAGTTTAGGGTTTAGGGTTTAGGGTTTAGAATCCATATGAGCTATGGTCTAAACTCCTTGAAGGGGGGTTCTGTAGGGGATTATATAGGGGAGTACTATATGGGTTCTTGAGGGGGATACCAGGAGTTTAGATAATAGTTCATATAGTCCCCATCTATACCCCTATTTGGGGTTTAGGGTTCCATATACGGGTAATATAGCGTTTATAAAGGTTTTATAGGAATGACGGAAAAGAAAATGGAAACGACTATAATGGGTTATATTCACTCCCCCCTGACCCTAAGTAGACCCCCTCATCACGCGGAAGCTGCAAGAAAACCTCAGCACGTAGGGCAGGGAGTGTTCTGGGCTTAAACCCTAAACCCTAAACCCCTAAACCCTAAACCGTGTTCTGGGCTTGGAAGCCCACCGCCCACCAAAGCGAGAACCCGTCTGCAGCGTGTGTTCCACAAAAACTGGGTTGCTGTTAAGGAACTCAAATTAAGTTACCATAATGGGTTTAGGGTTTAGGGTTTAGGTAAGTTATTATATTATCCCCCTTATAATGGAGAATCA